CTTTGATTCACGAGTGAGTTATGTAAAGGCAATAGTTAATTTCTGTTACTTGTAGTCAAGAACTCTGAATCTTTATCTAAACTTCAGTAGGAATACCATTAATAAGTTGGTGTTTAAACATGTTTTTTGACATTTGCAAAACTCTTCTAATTCAATAGGTTGTGGAGACAGAGAGGAATTGCTACATGCAGATGAACCCCCAGAGACAAGAGGTGCCTCTTGCACATCCATTATTTTACCAAATTTGCAGTTAAAGCTGAAGATTGTGACTATGCCCCAGCCTACTCTAGGAGAACATATACACAGCCTAATTTTTTTTTTTTTTTTTTTTGCGGTACGCGGACCTCTCACTGCTGTGGTCTCTCCCGTTGCGGAGCACAGGCTCCAGACACGCAGGCTCAGCGGCCATGGCTCACGGGCCCAGCCGCTCCGCGGCATGTGGGATCTTCCCAGACCGGGGCACGAACCCGTGTCCCCTGCATCGGCAGGCGGACTCTCAACCACTGCGCCACCAGGGAAGCCCCTAATATTTTCCTCAACGAAACAGGGTGAAAACTGTCACTGAATTAGAAAACAGATGTTTCTATTATGAAAACCAGGATGCCTGTCTCCCTAAGAGTTGCAGGAAATATCAAATAAAAAATGATGTCCACACTGTAACCTGAAACTCAGATGCAAGAACTGGACCTGGCTCAGACATTGGGTTTATTTATTATTATTTTATTTTTGTTTATTGTGTTTAATCTTAAGTGTTTCTATATTACTCTCAAATATCAGCTGGTAAATAACTGGGAGTCAGAGCAAGTTTGCCATCATTAAAATAATGCTCATCTCAACAGAATTCCATTCAGTTGACATGTTCAAAACGTATAATAGCAAACAAGCAAGCAAGGTGATAATGATAACATTAACATGGGTCAGGGACTTCCCTGGTGGTCCAGTGGTAAAGAATCCACCTTCCATTGCAGGGGACACGGGTTCAATCCCTGGTTGGGGAACTGAGATTCCACATGCCTCGGGGCAACTAAGCCCGCATGTCACAACTATTGCGCTCGCGCACCTCAACCAGAGAGCATGTGTGCCACAAACTACAGAGCCCACGCACTCTGGAGCCTGCGCACCACAACTAGAGAGAGAAAACCCGCACGCCACAACTGGAGAGAAGCCCGAGCAGACTGCGTACCGTGATGAAAAGATCCTGCATGCCTCAACAAAGACCCCATGTGCCACAAGTAAGACCTGACGCAGCCAAAAGAAATAAGGAAAATAAATAATAAATAAAATAATATTAAAAAAAGATAAAACAGTGTATCTAGATACCTTTTAGAAAAAGTTAATATGGGTCAGACACTGTACTAAATGCTTAAGTACATAGTTTCAATTAATTTTCACAGCACTGTAAAGTACGTACTTTCATATTTTATAAATGAAGATCCTGAGTCTTAGCAAAGTTTAGATTCTTATTCAAGGTTATGTAACTTAGCTGATAATCTCAAGCAGGAGGCAGAAGAAATGACATACGTAGTCACTAAAATAAACCCTTAAGTATGTGGCATAATTGTGACAAGCATCAGCATGTATTTCAAAATTAGTGATAATATTTGAGTGATAATATTGTGATAATATTTGAGTCCTTATGATGTGTCCAGAACAATGCTTAGCATTTTACAGATGTAATGACACATAATTTGCCAGGGAAAAAAATTGTAATTTGCAGTTTATTTCTGTCCAATCCTCCATCTTTTTACCTTTTTCTCCCAACTGGATCCTTCCCATCTGGTTTTGCATAAGCTCAAGTCTTTTCTGTCTTAGAAACAAACAATCTATTCCCCAGAACAAAATAATAAAGCCCCTTCTTCACTTTATTTTCCCATCTGGCTATTACTTATATATCATTTTCCTTACTTTTGCAGTAAAATTTCTGGAAAGAGGTGTCCATTATGTCTGTCTCAATTTTCTAACCTTCCATTCACCTCTCAGTCCATTTGTGGACATGGGATGCTAACCTCCTTCAAGGAAGTACTCGCTGCCCAGCTGAGGGGAATGTGGTCTGCAGACTGCCTCAAACTGTCTGCTTCTTCAGGGTCTGCCTCAGACTCAGTGTCATCTTGCACAAGGTCATGCCCTTCCCAGGGTGGCCCATGTATGGTGATGAGTGAGGTAAAAGGACTGGCCATTTTGGCCTGGGTAGAGTTTATTCCGAAGGCCCCCATCTGGTTGGCTGAGGATGTTGGGCTTGGATCCCAGTTTAACTGCTTTCTCTGCTCAGTCATGTTTCTTTCCCTTCCTTCAACAGATGTTCATCCCTAATAGATACTCCAAACTCTATCCCAGAATCTGCTTCCTAACGCAGGGCACCATTGCAGTCAGCTTGGGCTTGATTGCTTCAGTCTTTCTAAGGTCACCTATTATCCACATGTTGATAAATCGAACTGGCATTTCTCAGCCATCAATTTACTCAACCTCTTATGGCATTTGAAACAGCAGTTAAGGAAAAATTACAGTGGCAGCCTACTGGATTAACACATTCTTTGCAGGCATCACTTATATTTTCATTGTCAAATATATAATAAAAGGCTTCAAATACCATGTAAAGTATAGGAGTATAAAACAAGTAAGACAGACTCTTTATTTTGGGGACCTCTGTTTAATGATGAGTCATTGGACACTGAGAATGAATGAGCAGAAGCAGAGAAACTTCTGGTTTTGAGCTTGGGCAAATGGATGATACATTTGTCACTGAGATAGAATCTACAAGAGGGATCATCAACTGAAAGGGGGAAGAGAATGAGCTCAGTTTTGAGTCACATGAGTTAGAGGTACTTGTGGGATATCCACATAGAGCTGACTTGAGAGTAATTGCAGCAGAGATCAGACTGCAGCAAGTTGAAGATTGAATATAACTTAAGAATGTGGCAGAGGGTGAATAGAGGCCAGGGATTCCCAAACCTGGCTAAGCATTAAACTCATATTTAGAGTTAATTAAAAATTGATGGAAACCAGCAAGTTTCTACTGTGTAGCACAAGGAACTATACTCAATATTTTATAATAACCTATAAGGGAAAAGAATCAGAAAAATAGATAGATTATATATATGTAAAACCGAATCACTTTGCTGTATACCTGAAACTAACACAACATTATAAATCAACTATACTTCAATTAGAAATAATGATTGAGGGCTTCCCTGGTGAGGGCGTCCGGAGCCTGTGCTCCGCAGCAGGAGAGGCCACAACAGTGAGAGGCCTGTGTACCGCAAAAAAAATAATAATAATAAAATAAAATAAAATAATAATAATAATGATTGAAAAGTTTCTTCCCCAGAGATTCTATTCAGTTGATTTGAGGAGGATGTGTATTTTTACAAACTCTCCAGCGCTACTGTGTTCAGTGCAGGTCCTCTGGAAAGCAAACACCAAGATGGAGTGAAAGTGTAGTAATTTTCTGTGTGGGGGGGGGAGGGTGGCACAAATATATGTGTCAGAGGAAATGGGAGGGAGGTGGGGAAGGCTGGAGGAGCCATCAGGCAGCAGCGCAAGTCTGACCGCATGAAGGGAGGAGGGGGAGATGATTGGGTAGAAGCATCTCAGAGTGCTACGTGGGATAAGGAAGGGTTAGCCAGGCTGCTGGAAGCTTATGTATCTTTCAGGAACAGGCCTGCCATGCTCAATTGCTGGCTACACAGGAGCAGTCTGTGGGAAACGTGGCATTGGCACAACAGTGGGGATGGATTTCAGAGTGCAGAAGCCGGGGTCTTCGGTTAATTAAGCTCTCCGTGGTTGAAAGTCTGTGAGGCACATTCTCCTGGCTGCCACATATACCCTACTTTTTTTTTTTGGCCACACCGGGCGGCATGTAGGGGTCTTAGTTCCCCAACCAGGGATTGAAACTGTGCCCCCTGCAGTGGAAGCATGGGAGCCCTAACCACTGGACCACCAGGGAATTCCATATACCCTACTATTTTAAGACAATGAGATGAGGAAAGGAAGATAGAAATGGGCTGTAGTTAGAGAGGTATTTGGATTCGAGGCAAGGTTTCCTGCTGTTTTTCAAATAGGAAAGACTTCGGTATGTTTGTAAGCCTAGAAGAGGGAATCTGCAGAATGGAAGATGTTAAAGATAGAAAAGAGGAAGGGAAGGAGGGAAAGAGGGTTGGGGAAGAGGTGCAAGAGGGATGTTGAGAATGAATTAATTTTGGAGGAAGAAGACTCCAGAGAAGGTAGAAAGACGTAAGATAACAGGTTGTGGCTTTGACTCTAAGCAGTGACATCTTATTTTCTGGGATAGTGTCTGGATAGGGTTAAGGTTGAACGTTGTAGGAAGTTAAAGGGAACTGCACTTGGTTATCTCAATTTCTACCACAAAACAGGAGGCAAAGTATCAAAGGCACCAGTGGTGGAAGGTTTGGTCTTGAACAGGAGGTACCACCCCATCCGCTGAGGCGGAAATCAAAAGAGGTAAAAATGGGCTCAAAGACTCATAGATTTGGGATCAAGTTACAGGACAGAAGGGCTGATGGCCTTGATTTCTTGATAAGTAGGAGGCAAAGTTATCTGCTGAAGGTATTATTTATTTGTCGCTCTTCTCACATGACAAAATTCCTCACATCAAACCATAATAGAAATAATATTTAGTATATTAAAATTAATACTTCAGATATTTCTTTTATATTAAGATGATTGTCATATAAATCTTTCATAAACATGTGTCTGTTTCTTGGTGTATAAAGCATAACTCTGAAAGATACCCTTGATATAATTTAGAATTTTAAAAACCGACATTGGGGCTTCCCTGGTGGCGCAGTGGTTGAGAATCCGCCTGCCGATGCAGGGGACACGGGTTCATGCCCTGGTCCGGGAGGATCCCACATGCCGCGGAGCGGCTGGGCCCGTGAGCCATGGCCTCTGAGCCTGCGCGTCTGGAGCCTGTGCTCCGCAACGGGAGAGGCCACAACAGTGAGAGGCCCGCGTACAGCAAAAAAACAAACAAACAAACAAAAAACCCAAAAACTGACATTGTATTGAGTTTATACCATTCTCAATCAGAAGATAAAATTACTGGAAACGTAATGTCAGTGTATGTTGTATATATGTTACCAAATGTAACAAACAAAAACCACTTCTGGATGCTGTAATTTTATCTAGTATTAAAATAAATTCATCATGTGAGCAAATACTGGCTCTCCCTATCAAAAAGTAGACACCAAAATATTTCATAATTGGAGGGGGTCTTTGAGATTAGTGGCTTCTAATTTGGGGGCCTCAGACCCCCAGAGTATACACATTGAACAATAGTAGTTGATCTATTTTTAAATTTCAAAGCACCTAATAGAAATCCCACTTTACCCACATGAAGCCTTTGAGTTCCTTTACAATTACTTGAAATTATTTCAATTCAGTGGGGCTACTCTTCAGACTCTCCAATGGGCCTCTGCAATATTAAAACATGGATAATGCATTAATCATTGTTTAATCAATGAGTTTTAAAAATCAGCAAAACTTCTGAAACACAGAGCTAGGGTAGAGGGAGGATTATAGACATTTGAGGTAACTGATAGTGAAAACGTTGGGAAAAATTGACTTAGTCTAATCCTGAAATTTGCAGATGAGAAAACTAGGAGGAGGATAAATAATTTATCCAGTAACACGTCATGGCTCATTAATAGCAGAGCCAGCATTAGGATTTGCTCAATTCATATTTTGGAAGCTGTGAAAAAATTTCCTAATATGCTATTTTCTTGGGTGTTAGGTTTCTGCATTTTGTATCGTGGTGTCTAGTGTTCTTAGCATTTGGAACCCAAATGCTTCACATTTTGTTTTTGGGTTATTTTTGGTTGAGTACGTACCAATAGGAAATACCCCAGCCCAAACGCTAAGGTTTATTAATTTGTATTTCCTCTGCTGGCCAACTTTCCAGTAAAGTGGTTTAAAATTTTTTTTCCATAGAGGTAATAGAGAAACAAAAACAGAAACCTTTAAAAGAGTCTTCATAGTAAAGAGATGCCATAAAAGGCTAGTTAATTTTGAACTCCATTCTTCCATTCTTCATAATTTTGGGGTGGTCTTCATTCATATCTACTCTAGTTACAACAGTACTTTAAACAGAATTATATGGTAAACTTTATACAAAAGTTCTGCTACTACTATAATTTTTGAAAACATTTAACCCACCAGTAAGAGTGGAGACAGCCCTGCCTTTTAAAAGATAGATAATTTGAATAGAGAATATAAGATAGGATCATTAGAAGTACAAACAAGAGTTTTTCTTCTTATGAAAAATTTAAAAATTTCCTTCCTTATATTTTTGTTGTTCTTTATATTTCTTTAGACAACAGCCATTTTTTCTCAAAAGATTTTTTTTTTTTTTTTCCGGAAGGGAGAGTTGTCTATTGATGGTCTAAAAGAAGTGCTTATATAATTGTAGCTGAGGCAGAACTGGGTATTTAATATTTCTTACATCTCATTGATGCAGTCTTCCAAGATGTTGATTAAGCAGGGAAATCATTTTCTAAGTCCAAAATCTCAAAATGTATAAAAATAATCATAATTTTATAACAAATGGTAATAACTAGTTTTGTGCATTCATTTTCTATGATACCCGACAACATAGGCCAATTAAAACACAGACTTCACATTGTCATCAAATGAACATAGCAGAATGACCAAAGCTGAGAACTAGTCATTGTCGTAGATTGAACCTAAAAGAAGAAAATACAAATTTAAATTAGTTACACAAAATACACATCCTCTAAGTGTTCCAACGCTGTAAATGTAAATGATTCATACTCTCCTGGTTTAGGATAAAAATAGGAGAATTGTCTCACTTTATGAAAAAGCATTTAAATCGAAGGCCATATATTTATTTAACATTCATTGCTCAGTGTACTTTTCCAAACAAAGTTTCTGGACAAATCTATTCTCTATCAAAATGAGACTCAAGATTATTTTACCTGGTACTTAATTAAATGTACTTTTTGATAGTAATTCTGAATGAGGTTGAAAATACTAGGTATCAGTAAGAATCATACATTTAAAAGGAGACTAAAAGGAACATAATTAACACTATGCTTCATTTCAGGTGAGATTAATTTTTTAGATCATAATTTAGAAATGTACAATGCTTAGATAATACTAGTGAGTAATACAGGTTATGAAATAAGTACCTACTTATTGTCGAGGCACAAATATTTTTGTGGATAAAAGCAATTCTTATTAAGATTCATGGTATAATGAAAAATACACTAATATTTCATTCTTTTGTTTTCAAAGAAAATAAATAAGAGATTTTTCCTTGATTTTCAGTCATGTTCAAAAATAATTTTATTTCATTATACCATGGCATTTACCTTTCTTAACATTTTCAGGTGATTCAAATTCTAATCAGATTGGAAGGCTCTAATTAATCCAGCAAGCTATTTTCAGTATTTGTAAGAACAGTAAATTCACCATGACTGTTCTCTGTGCTGGGTGCCACGTGAGACTTACCATCAGCAATATCGTCATAAATCTCTCCATCACTGTAAATGTAGAAAATAAATTTTATTTTAAAGAAAGAATCTTCTTAACATTAAAGCAATATTTAGGTTATAAGTTTAATAATGTGATTTTATGTGACATAAGGCATTTAAGGGTGAGAAGTTACATTTATAAGTGGGAAGAAATTTCATATTCATCTGTATCTCCTTTCATTGACTTAATCGAATCCTCTGTTTCATTCTTATAGCGCACACACACACACACACACACACACAAAATTTATTCCATATCATAGACATACAGAACAATGAAAACATGCCCCAAGAGCATAGACCTCGCCTTACTCATCTTTAGATAGAACTATAAGCCTAGCACACAGCTGTCCTTGGTCAGTAGTGTTTGTTGAACTGAACAAACTGAAAAATCATGGCACAGTACTCCACTGGGGGCCCTAATCCAAAACTGTGATGGATTCTTTATGTTCAGTAATATCAGATTTATACTACATTCACTTGAACTTCAAATGTTGAATCAAATACAGAAATATTTGGCATAGGAAATGGGTGCATAATTTCTGCAATGTTTCTAATTATAATTTGTAAATATTAATTTAAAATATATAAATATTGGTTACAAAATAAGCAGCCAGGATATGGTTTGTATGGCGATTCTTTTTTTATTTTTTATTTATATATTTTATTTATTTATTTATAATTAATTAATTTTATTTTTCGCTGCGTTGGGCCTTCATTGCTGCACGCCAGACTTTCTCTAGTTGTGGCGAGCGGGGGCTACTCTTCGTTGTGGTGCGCGGGCTTCTCATTGCGGTAGCTTCTCTTGTTGCGGAGCACGGGCTCTAGGCACGCAGGCTTCAGTAGGTGTGGCACACAGGCTTAGTTGCTCCGCGGCATGTGGGATCTTCCCGGACCAGGGCTCGAACCTATGTCACCTGCATTGGCAGGCGGATTCTTAACCACTGCGCCACCAGGGAAGTCCTATTTTTTACTTTTTAAAGTTTTGGGCCATGCCGCGCAGCATGTGGGATCTTAGTTTCCCGACCAGGGATCGAACCCATGTCCCCTGCATTGGAAGCATGGAGTCTTAACCACTGGACTGCCAAGGAAGTCACTGTATGGTGATTCTTATGTTATATAATTTAAAAAATATTTGTGGTTATAGGCGGCAGCCATAATAATCGTTCTGGTGAGTTTTACACATTTTAGGTTTCATCTGGTCCTGAATCTTTGTGAAATATTCTATTCTACACACACACTGAGTCCCTCCTATGTACCAGGAGATATAAGTAAGACACAGTTTTTATTTCAAGAAACTTATAATCTAATGGAGGAGAGAATGATATGCAAGTAATTAAAGTAGAAAGAATTATAAATATTAATATAGCCTTGAAACGTAGGATACACAAATGTAAGGTGACTTTGTCATTTAGACCAGACCTACTCTTGGTTCCTATACTACCTCTGTGCATTTATCATGGAAGCAGCAGCAGGCTTTTCAAATTGCTGCCAACTATGGCAGATGCTGTGAGTTCCCTAGGTCTTCTGTTTGGATCCTTTCTCTGAGATGGAGGGAGGATTTGGCTAATGGAAATCTGATACAAATGCAAAGAGAACAGATTTTTTTCTATTATTCATTCAATAAACTTGTATTAAGTATTCACTTCAATAGGTAGTAAAGCAATAATTACTTAGAGAGTACACTTTCTGAATTCTCTCTTAATCGTCCTGTAGTAATCACTGATGAAGATGTGGTCCCGTTATTTGTCACGCATTCTTTCCTTGAAATTTGTATCTTTCATAGAGTAAAACCTATTGAAAAGTCCCACACCTACTACTGTGATTAATGCTCTGAGGAAAATAAAAGTATTGTGATTATTTTTCTTTTGACTCTTTCCTGGTTTGCTGACAGAGCCCTTAACATTGCTTTGCCTCTTTCTGATTGGTGTCAGGTTATTTATGGATACAGTTTGTGAATCTTCCTTGATTTCTTAATCATGCTGAATTCTGTAAATCTCTGTATTGGTATATGACCTACCCTGATAATGGAGTTCATTTCTTGCACTGGTTTACTTGGAATAGGATCTTATAACATTGTGGGTGGACTCTAATAGCACTAGTACCAGACTGTGACAATGTCCTATTCATAAAAATAGAAGAATCATTGACCACTATCTTTTTCTGGCATGCTTCCAAAAAAGGCAACTTAATACTCTACTATGCCTAGTGTGAGTAAAGAAAAGCCTTCAATTAGGCGCCAAGCCATAAACCGTTAACAGGTGATATTTGTACCTACTCTGCAGACACTAATTGATACCTGATTAATTCAATTCAATCAACTGCATTAATAGCTAGTGAAATGCAAAGTGTTAGTGGTTTTGACCTGTCTCCAATATTTTCAATGTGTGTATCCAATGAATATATAAAACTATGAACTGTATAATCGTGAGTGAGAAGGGCTCCTCCTTTATATTTAAAAGAGTGACACTTTATCAAAACTAACTTCGTTATGGGTACTACCATATTGACATTAGTATAGCATATTGTTTTAAAATTTATTTATGATAGTTTAGTAGATTATATTATGTAAGTGATATTAGGAAACTTTCTTAAAGAAAAGCATATAATTATTTTCGGAAGTATAGTAGTAGAAGAAAATGGGCTTACTTGTCTACCAAGTGACTCCGAAGGACATAACCGTCTAAGAAAGAAAAAGAAAATAAATTTTATTAACAGTACAAACTTGAAAAATCCCTACTATTTTTAAAGAAATTGAAATAGAATTTAATAATTAAAAGAATATATAATATATTGAATAATTATATCTATCTCCAAATATGACTTATTTTTCTTATTTGTGTCCACTCTTCTCTCCTTCCTTTTTTTTTTTAACATCTTTATTGGAGTATAATTGCTTTACAATGGTGTGTTAGTTTCTGCTTTATAACTTTTCCTCTTCTCTCTAACTTTTTTTTCTCTCTCTCTCCTACATGACTCTTTTCCTCCATTTACAATCTTTCCTCCTTTCCCCCTTAAATTAAAAACCAATATTTTCTTTTCTAAGCTACTGTAGGTTGTAGCACAATCTTCTTTCACATTTTAATCTATTTCTTTAAGGTGTTACCCACTTGACACAGTTTTAAGAATTTATTAAGCATAATTTCTCCTATGAAAAAAGTAGGTCACAGGTAGGGATTTTAAATATCACCAGGTCTAAGACTTAACTTTTCAAATTTTATTATACTGAACAGTCAGAACTGTGTTCCATTCCCCTTTCAGATCCGCAATCTAGTGTTTACTTGGGGGAGTGTGCATTCTAAATGGTTTCAAAACAGCTCTCTTATAATGAGCGTGAAAGAGCTTTCACTATTGCTTTTGCCATTTGACAGAGCGTCAATGTTTGCATTTTCATCTTTCATGGAATAAATAATTATTAGAAGAGCACTAGTATCAGGGATTCTAGTGATTCTTCTGTTAAATGGAAAATAAACATTTTATACAAGAAAGCAAAGATTTTTTTTCACTTTATTTTTGCCCCTCTTGTGCAAAATACTCCGAAGAAAAAATATGGGCTGTTTTTCTTAAGAAAATGTCTGCTGACATCTAATTAATGTTACTAGCCTTTGGAATTATTGGTTTTGTGTTAGCACCTAGCCACTGTTGTATGTTTGAGATTAGTACCATTTATAGTCTTGTCAATACAGCTTCTAAATAACTTCTTTCACTGAGTCAGTCTATTGGTTTTGCTCCACCTCAGATCTAGTTTTGGTTCTAAATCAGAGTAAATGTGTAAAAAATGATAAAGCAGGAAGCTCACAAGCAAAAATTAATACCAACGTTAATAAACTTACGTAAACGTTAATAAACTTACGTATTGCCATTGATTTAACATGCAAAATTTTTTAAAAGTTAGAATCATACAACTGAAATTGTGGATTAAAAATTAAGAGAATGAACTTTCCCTTGAAATATTCCAGGGTAAAATCAATTCCACCAAAATTTTTTGTCAAGAAATTAACTACTTGTTGATGAAAATTGTTCATAAGAATCATATTTGGAAAATAAAGAATCAAAGTTATCTCTGAATTCCTGCAGCATGGCAGTAATGAAATGATAAAATGATAAAAGTACAATAAGTAATATTTTTCTCAGAGTATAAAAAATTAGACAGTGTTATACCTTCCTTTTTATTTCAATTAAAGAAGTGGAAAAATTAATATAAAGGTCATCTAAAATTAATATCTATGATCCTTGGGTAGACTTTGATTCCACAGTTCTTTCAGTCATTTCACGTTAACAAACTTTAAAAAAAAGGTAAGGTAGACATCATCATTTAGCGTAATTCTTAAAGGGGGATAATCTCATCTCTAACAAATTCAGCTCTATGTGTGTCTCTCAAAAGAGAAACTCTGTGCAAATAACAGACTTTTTGAACAAATTGTGGATTTTGTGTCAGGCTTCCAATAATCGAAGTCTGTCTTTACTTGTACTTCTGTTTAGGGCTAACATAAAGTGTGAACCATTTCTACAGACAGTAAGAGTCACAAAGTTTTTCTTTTTCGTTAGTTAAAATTGGTGGTTATGTTTTCATTTTGAATTTTCTCTTAAAACAAATTGGAAAATAAAACAATACAAGTAAGTGTTCCCATTGATATTCATGTTTAAATTAATAATTTTAAAATAACGACTGAAGCCTTTAACGATGAAATCAATCTCATTGTGAGTTGTCTGGGCTTTGTAAAGTGTCTGAACTAAAATTAACATGTAGACAATTAGAGAAATGTATAAGAAGTAAGAAAATATTGCCAGAGATTGGAATTATTCTGGCCTCAAGTATATTTCTGTTGTTGTTTGTAAAAAATATTTAGAAGGTCAAGAGAAACAAAATCCAAAACAAAGAGAATATAATCACCATTTCTGGAAATAAAAGGATTTTATTTTCTTGTGCTTGTAGGTCATCTACTTTTTAAAACTCAGTTATGCTAAAATTGTGTAGACCTGGATAAAACACTATCTGTAATTAGGCATAAAACAGTCCTTTCAATGACCAAAGTTAATAACTCATGATATAGAGCTTAATTACCTAACCTCACAAAGTTTATTATAAAAAAATATATTTTCCTAGCTTCTCAAATCCCTATTACATTTCCTCCTATATCTTGACTCTTCAAGAGCTCTAAGGAGCAGCTTTTTCTTTTGCTGAAGGCTCTAACGTTGTTGCCGTTTTGTTGTTTTTGTTGTTGTGTGAGCTACATAAACATCAACGATTGTGAATATTATTTAAGAACAAACTTATCAAGGGGTTGGGGTGTGGGATGGTACTGTGCTGCTCTACTTTCGTTCCCTGAAATGATGTGATCATTTGGGGCTCATAAACTATGAAATCACTATTATATAGCACTTTTGTAGGGTTAACGACTTTTAATACAGCATAGGTTTTGCTGTCTAGTACCTTTAAAAATCTCTGCTGAAACTTCATTCTATTACAAGCATGATTCATGGCAGTGTCAAAACAAGTGTCTTACCATGAAGTTTTAAACCACTTCTCCATGATAGTTCCTAGACACAATTTTTTTTTTTTTGCAGTAGAAAAATGTTCTCTGCTCACATGTTCCATGAACATTCATCATAGGGAATGTAATGAAAAATACAAACAAATGAAATAAACAGAAAACCTCATCATAGTTCTGTAACATGCAGAGTGGCTGCTGTGTTTAGTTAGCTCTATAATATCGTGGGCACTGGCACACCAGGTATGCTCACAGATAATATGAAATTATCATTAGGAAATCTCACATTCATAGAGCAGAACACAGCGACTTGACACAAATGTTTTGAAATATGTGGTGGGTAGAGTTGGTTAAGAAAGTAACACCCACCCACCATTTGTGCCAGTTAATTTCTTCCCAAAACATTTACTTGCTACAGTGCAGATGTGTCGCAGGACTAATGACTCACCTTTCAGAAGGGTGTTGTGAATATAAAATTACCAAGGATATACAAAACCATCTTTGGAAAAAATATCTTTGTTCTAATATTTTCAAATTTTTTACTCAATAAAAATGACAAATTTTATTATTTCCTTATTATTTCGTTTGTTGTGAGCAAGTCCAGAAATAAAGTTAAACTTACTCAATTTGGCCTCATGCAGTTTAAAAACAATGAAGTCATACTGCATAGATTTACTAAGGCAAGTGGAACAACGTCCGACTTCAAGAGAAAATGCTCATAATGTAATAGAAATTAAAAACAAAATGCAGTGTATAATGCTAAATATAAATTATTATCCTAGTTCTATAAAAATGTTCTCTTTCCCTCTCTCTTTTTCTCTCCCTACTTATTTTTAGGGCTTCAAATCAGGTGACATTAAATTTCTGAATATAAAAATTTTCTTCAGTGAACATGTGTTGTTTTAAAATCGAAACCAAAATTACCTAAGCAAAGAAATCATCAATTGGATTTGGGGACACCCAAAGCACCTTTAAAATTCCCCTTCCTTTGGTGCCCAAAGGAAATGGACAACATTTTGATCACAAATAACTCAGCTCATGTCTCATCCCACACTTTTTTGTAGAAAAATTTTCTCCAGTGACAAGAGGTGGGAAAACTCACAGCTTATGAGACTTTGAGTTGAGGAACATGCACAAATATTAGCGAGAAATTCTAAACATTTGGGAATGTGCCAGAAATATATATTTAAGATCTCAATGCCTCTACAATGTGCTTTTCTACAAGTCAGTGGGTGAGACTTGATCAAATGTGATAATGCCTGTAAAAGTGGCTTGTACTCTACTCCACAGTGGGAAGGGATTACTGTTAATGATTTAGCCTCTCATATCTATCATTACAAATTAGGTTTAAGTAAACTATGGTTTTCTTTTTTTTTTTTGGATGGATTAAAGAAGAATAGAAAGTAAGGAAAATGTTAGGGTCATCATGATGTTGGACTGCAAATGTCGTTACTGCTAATTAGATGTAGAAAAAAGGAACTGAAAGGTTCAGAGTCTCCCAAATGATACACAACAAGTGAACCACATCACTATGGCTAAGACAGAGAAGTTCTGTCTTCTAACAAGTTAAACTATTCAACGGACTTCTTCCTGTGAATGTCAGTATGTCAGATTTTCATCTGGTTATCCAACTGCAATCTCCAAATTGTTATACTCAATTCAGCAAGCCCCAAACAAGGTGCCAGGCAGTGTAGAATGTGTTGGCAATACAATGTTGAGAACATTTCACTGAAGCTACTCTCAAGCTCCGTCTCATAAGAGTAATAGATTGGAAAAACAGTAAGGACAGTGACAGCAATAACAGTAGTGGCATGGTGCAGCAAGGGAGAGATTAATTGTGTTAGGGTGGCTGCAGAGGAGTGAGTGAGTGTGCTTCCAATTTTAGATGACAACTGGGTTGTTTTTAATAGATAATTTATGGGCATTCCAAGTAGAATAAAATAGCATAGAAGGATGAAATAGCATAATTTATTCAGGGAATGACAAATGAGTAGTTTACATTTCTGGAGTGTTAGTTGCAGATGGGAAATAGTTGATGAAGGTGAGGCTAGATCACAAAGGGTTTTATATACTAACCCTAAAGACTTCATGTTTTTAAAAATAATATTTGGGTAACAGTATGGTGAGTGGATTGGCTGAGAGAAGGGTAAGGGAGACATATCATTTGAAAGGCTATTGCAATAATCCAGGTGAGGAAGGGTTAAATCCATACAACAATTGTCCCAAATCCTATGGAGGTATTTGAGGAATAGATCAGAAATTAAGAAATTTAAATTAGATTTAAAATTAAGAAAATTAAACATCCAGTTCAAGGAAAGACTAACCAGCAGTTTTAGAAAAATTAAGAAAAGCAAGAGATTTGGAAAAATAAAAGGGAAATTAAGCAGATATGATCATTGAATTGTGGAATAATGAAATCGCAAATGCTCTTGGTGGCCTTCCCACCTGCCCAGGAGTAGGCTTCAATTCCTGATGGACACAGAGTTGATGTATAAGTACCCCAGTTTGTTTCCCACCGGATGGGATAACACTGCCACTCCGATTTCCCAACTGATTAAGCTCCTACTACCCAAGTGTACCTTTTTTTGATAACAAGATTTTATTAGCTGCCTTCTCTTCCCAGTTTATTAACAAGATTTTATTAGCTGCCTTCTCTTCCCAGTCTACTTCTCCATGTGCTCATGGGAGTATCCCAGAATCTCCTCCCAAATGGGAAAGCCAAACTAAGACAAAGTCCAGGCCAAAGAAAGTCTATAAATAAAAAACAACTACGCAAGTGCGTAGTACGCAAGTGCTACTGCTATAATCATCTGGTTTTCATTCTGTCTGAAGTGGACCCTAAAACCACCTAAGAATTGAATTAGTTATCAGTGAGCTTGAGAATTGTAAGGTGCATTGGTCCTGCCGCAGAAAAAAAAAAAAAAAGAAGATAAAAGGTACAAGGAACTCTTGATTTTATCTACCAGAATGTCATGTAATGTTTTCACCTCTCATTTTTAACAGATGATAAATTCTAAGAGGATAGGAGTCCTCCAGTATTCATAGCAGTATTTAGAATTATTGATGTCGAAGTAGAAAATGATAGCAGACTACAAATTATCCCAGAATGGCTGTTGCTTTTCCTCATTCGTAGGGTCTACTGGTTCCTAGGTAGGAGTCTCCTCTGAATTTCTGTTTTTGATGCTGAATCTACATCTGCTCATCTGTATCTATACATGTTTGTTGTTGAGGTCATTTATATCCTGTTACTCAGAGTATGTTCTGCGGACCAGCAGCATCAATTACCTGCGAGCTTGGGAAAACACCTTACCTCAGACCTGCTAAGTTAGAATCTGCATTTTTAACAAGATCCCCACATGAAGTGTATGTACTTTGGAGTCGAGGAGCATTGCTCTAGATGGGATTTGTTGCGGGGACAGAAATCTCAGGACAGCAGGTCAAGATAAATCTGAAGCTTTTCCCCTGGAGAAAGGTCCACATGACAAGTACTAGAACAATTCTCTGTTGTGAAAAATGTGAAATAATTTGGAAAGTAGAGGGAAGGAAACATATCATTTAGGTCCATCACCCTAATCAGCCACTATTAGGATTTTAGTTTGGTTTCTTTTATTTACATATTTTTTAACATGGCTGTAAATAAATCCTATCCTACTTTAAGCAGGCTTCTTATTCCTCTTACTGTTGTATCATGAGAATTTCCTCATGCTATCATAATCACCCTGGAAAATACTCAGTTTATATATTTATCATAACTTATTTAATAATTTTAAAAATTTGAACATTTTAAAATATTTTGATGACCTTTTAAAGCATGTAGTTATTCTGCATTTAAGACTATTCCTTGGGGTACATCTTCACAAATCCTGGTCTGAATGGGGGTTTTCTTTGTCTTCTGGAGCTCCATCTTTGAATTATCTCCAGTAACCTTCAAGTCGTAACACTACATACCCCTGCCTGTTATCCTTTGCACCCACATTCCATTTTTTCCTTTTAAAGCCAACCACACCCCTTCCATAAAAGCTTTAGATCCATTTTCCCCACCCTTGAGTCACTGTATTTTATTCTTAAAACATCTACTTCGGTTCCTGTACCTGAGTCACCTTCCTGTCATTAAAATTGAACTCAAAGTTTGTGTTTTCCGTGCAGACTTACCGAGCTGATATGGGACAGCCATGTTGGCCATTCAATTTTAAATATAGGACAACATAATTTTGACTTACTCTTCTCTGGACGTTAAATGAAATAAGCTTCTTTTTAAAACTGGACAAAAACATTTCCATCTGCCAGCTTTAGTAGCTGAGAAAGTCAGAGAGGACAGGACACTCTTGTGTTTATTTGGAATAGAATGTCGTATTAAATGTGGCCGAACAGGAAGTGAAAACAAGTGAATTTGCAAGGTAGGAAAACTGGAGATTCTAGGTGTGACATATGTGATATAATTTCAAACCAGACCAGAGCAAGAACCACTCACTACTTTAGCAGAGTGGTTCTCACTTTAGTGTACGTAGGAGCAAACTAGGGAAGCCGTTATGATCACAGACTCTGTCTGACCCACGGAGTACATGACTCAGCAAGTCAAGGGTGGGTCCAGGGTGTTAGAATTGTAATACACACAGGAGTTTTCTGATGCTGGTGGTCTGGGGACCACATTTTCAGAAGCACGAATTTGGCATAACTTTGGCAACTCAGTGCCAAATATAGCAGGTGGGAAATGAAAAAAAAAAAAAATTAAAATTAAATACATTGATTCCAGCACAGCGAGGTCTCCAGTTTCTTAATGTTTTCCACAACGCACAAAGCATGGAGCAAAAACAGTTAATACAAATAGGAGTGATAACTAAAACTTGTTTAGTCGTTAAATTCTGGGGTGTCCTAGCGATAAAGAATAAATAGTGACTTACATTTTCCTTCTTCATTCCTGCAGAGAACTTTTGTATCATCTGTGTTTTGTATAACTTCCAGGGATTCTCCAGGCTTCACCTGTAGATCTCTGTTCCCCCACTTTTTAGAAGTTAAGTAGGGTGCAACTTTGGTGTAATAGAGGACTCTAATTTCACCATCAAACTGGAAAAATAAGGAAAAACATTTACCTTATTGATTGATGCGTAGTATTAAAGTAATTCATTTAGGACAGATTTATTAAGAAAATCTTTGTTAAATAACTAGTTCCTTGTTTTCCAAAAATAACAAAAACTTCTTTGGAGAAAAATCACTCATAACCTCACCAACCTAATAATAATTACTATTATTATTTTATTTTTTTTGGCGGTACGCAGGCCTCTCACTGTTGTGGCCTCTCCCGTTGCGGAGCACAGGCTCCGGACGCGCAGGCTCAGCGGCCATGGCTCACGGGCCCAGCCGCTCCGCGGCATGTAGGATCCTCCCGAACCGGGGCACAAACCCGTGTCCCCTGCATTGGCAGGCGGACTCTCAACCACTGAGCCACCAGGGAAGCCCCTAATAATTATTTTTAAAATAAAAAGTTTTTTAAAATTTAAGATGTAATGCATGTGTTGATTTGTCGCACTCATATATTGCAAAATGATAACAACCAGAACGTAAATTCTATTGGCTTGATCACCTCGCAATATTACCATTTCTTTTTTTATAGTGAGAACATTTAAGATTTGCTCCATTAGGGACTTCCATGTATATAATACCGTATTGCTAACTATAAGCACCGTGCTGTAATTAGATCCCTAAAACTTACTCATCTAACTACTGAGTATTTGTACCCTTTGACAGACATCTCCCCATGCTCCCCTTCTCTGGTAACCATGATTTTACTCTTGATTTCTGTGGGTTTGGTTATTTTAGATTCCACATACAAGTGATATCACACAGTATTTGTCTCTGTCATTCTGACTTATTTTGCTTAGTATAATGCTCTCAAGGTTCAACCATGTTGTCACAAATGGCAGGAGTTCCTTGTTTTTCGTGGCTGAATAATATTTCACATGTATCTATCTATCTCACATCTTTTTTATCTATTCTATTTTTAGCTTACCTTCTGACAGCTAAATTTAGATGATTATCACAGTACATATATTGCGTATGAGAGTTTACTTAATTTCTTATAGGAATAAATTTAAATCTAAAATAAATTTTGTAGAAAATAAAGGAGTTGTGATGGAGAACTGTGATATTGATAATTACACTTTTAAAAATCATCAATTTTTTCATTAGCACTTTGAACTTTGTATGATATTTAAATGTAAACATACTTTAAATTTTTTCCTGAAGTCTTTTTCTTCTTTTTCTTGCTTTTTTAGTTTCTTAGGGTCTTTTTCTTCTGCCTTGGCCTTGGCTCCTTGACTAGGATGGCAGAACACACATAAAATAGCATTTAGTTTCAAAATATAAGAAGAATAGTGTATAACAGACAATTCATAACATTACATTTTTGTTAAATTTCATTTTCAATTATCATTGTTAGAAATCTAGTACATTCATTGTAATAAATGATGACATTTCATAATGCAGAATAGATTTTCAAAAGAATACAGACTGAGTTAAAATGGAAGTGAGAGATAATGTATTATGTTGAATGGTATAAAATGACTGAAGTATAGTTTAAACATCGTTACATACCAGCAGTTTCATATGATTCAACCTATTCTTGAACCCCTTATATTTTTCAACCCTTCCTAGATAATTAAGTGGTTTGGCTAATGTCATAGAAAAGGCTTTTTAAAAAAGAACACTTTGTGAAAGACTGATTTTTATGGCTTAAAAAATTTATCTATATATAATCTACTTAAAACAAAGCCAGGGTCACATCTCATGATACCAACTAAAGCCAATTATTATAAGACAGGTGAACAGCTCTGAGGTAGTGATTCTCCAGCCTGGCCACATATAGGATCACCTGGGAAGTTTTTAAAAAATACCACTGCCCTTGTCTAATTCCCAGAAATTAAATTAATTAAAAATTCTAATTAATTAAATTGAGTGAGGTCCAGGTACTGACGTATGTATTTTAAAAGTTCCCAGGTGATATTAATTTGCAACCAAGGTTGTGAACAATTCCTGGGTTAAGTATGGATGTTAGGGAAAGGCTGTGACTCTCTGTAGGAGGGAATTTAAAAAATCAGAATATTTGTGAATAATGAAAAATTTTAAACACTGACATTAATTTTGATTACCTAAGGTAAAGTTTTGTTTGTAACTGATTTATTTAAAAATTTTGAATCTTAGAATTTAGTTCATTCACTGGGAAATGAATTAGCACACTGTCCTGCCCTAGGTTCTGCATTGTCCCTCATACCTTCTCTCTGATGGTACCTGGGTAGTAGTGGAATCGCTGGCCCGGATTAGCACTCTGGAGCAATCAGAATATACATGAATGTTAAAAATGCCCCACAAGCTCTCGTTAAAGGTAATTTATTGAAATTTATTTAAAAAAATAGAATGCTGTGTTAGAGACACACGATTGCCTTAAACTCTGAAAATAAGCAACGGGAAAGAAATTAGTACATATCGCACAAAGTTTAATCAGCTGGGGCTTATTTTGCTTAAAGAAAAGGGCCAGTGGGTGACTCTGGGTTCCTAGAGAGCTATTTAATGGAATGTGGTGGCATTTCTACAGTAATATTAAAGACAAAAATGTGCTTAAAACTGTCAGGAATAGAAGCGACGTCCCAATGGTGAGGAATATTAAAACTTAACATATTTCTGAAGATTAGATTTTCCTTTCATGGAGAACTGAAAAAGGAGAATGATTCTCCTTTCATATTTCTGGTGTGTTTTGCCTGTAGAACTTGATCTTCTTATATAAATAACAGGATATTTTCCCCTCAGTTTCTTTGATCTTGCTCTTGTTGTGTAAAATTAGTTTAACAATGTTGGTAAAAAAAACGAAAAAAGAGGGGCTTCCCTGGTGGTGCAGTGGTTGGGAGTCCGCCTGCCGATGCAGGGGACACGAGTTCGTGCCCCGGTCCGGGAGGATCCCATGTGCCGCGGAGTGGCTGGGCTCGTGAGCCATGGCCGCTGAGCCTGCGCGTCCGGAGCCTGTGCTCCGCAACGGGAGAGGCCACAACAGTGAGAGGCCCGCGTACCGCAAAAAAAAAAAAAAAAAAAAAAAGACAAAAACATAAACTTAGAGTTCACTCATGCATTTTTTACCAGTACAGCTCAGAAGACACCACTTACTGTATTCCATTGATGTTACTTCTATCCTTTAACTGATCAACTTCAAGATCTTTTTATTCATCTTTCTTTTTTCTTGAAAAAGCTAGAGAGGTGTTCTTGCTTCCATACATAGCATGTATCAGATCATCTCACATATTTATTGGGGTATAAAAAAGCATCCTAACATGTTATTTTCTATTACAAAAGAATTTTGTAAAGGTATTCCTCTTCTATTAATTGATTTTAGGTTTTCTTACAACTTTTGTCTAAAATTAAATTGAAGCCTTAGGTAAGTTAAAGAATGTCACTATTCACTGTTGACTGTTTTTGTTTGAATGGAACCTTTGAGAATCAGATGATTTTGTGAAAAATTGACATAACTCGTAAAAGTCCTTTCAAAACACAAATCTGCTCTCTTTTTTTTTTTCATAAAAGGAAACGATCTTCTTGCGGAGGATGGAGGAGGCTTGAAGCAGGTGGGTTAGGATTGAGACATAAACTAAGCAGTGTGTTCAAGATAAAAAACGTTTTGAGAAAAAAGTAAAAAAGGGAGCGAATGAATCAGTGAGAGCAGTTGCGATCAGGCTCTCAAATATTTTCCCAGTGAATGAGTAAATAAATGAATGAAGACATTGGTGAGTCATAGGTCAGAAGATAATCAGGGGTCAGGAAGAAGGCACTGGGAAGGGGTGAGGGGAAGCGAGAGAGAGAAGGAGGAGGAGAACCTGGGCTATCCATCCATTCACAAACCTGGCAGAGAGGTCAGAGTTGGGATCAGGGAGAGGACGACAGAGCCAACAGGATGGCACACAGTACACACGCCCTCACTGGGGTTTTATTCCAGCTGAATTTTCTTAAACTGTCTGATTTTCATAACTTCACTGTAATGAGAACATTTAAATTACCTCATCTCTGGTGGTGGAGCAGGGAAATCAGAGGCATCCACATCGTCATAAACGTCATCTCCCATGTCTAACAAAAGACACAATAGCAAATGTTGAAACACTGTTAATGTACATTTTGATATGAGCATTCAATGGGATTTTAATATAAAGATTGTTTCAAGGACAACAAAATAAGTTTTCCTGAGGTCTCTGTACATTTCTCCTGGAAGCACTGCCTATTCCTTAAAAGGGAGAGAGAGGTTCCTCTCTTCCTTGATGCTTGTGTTAAGTATCCCTCAAAAAGAAAAACAACAACAACAACAAAATAGTGGCAATGATAATAACTATTGTTATCAGGAAAAAAACCCTAAAGCAGTGACTGAGATTATTTGAATATCCACAAGTGTGATGAATTGTAAGATTAGTAGATTGCTGACAAGCAAATCAATATTACTGGCCATTGGCTGCAGGTAGAGATTGAAGTAAAGATTTTGATGGGATTTGGGGTGCTAGGATAATATATATCACTTTATTTATATGTCTTTGCCTTTGTGCCTATCTATCTATCATCTATCTATCTATCCCTCTTTTTTACTCATTGATCTGTCTTTATTAACTTTTACCTTGTAGGAATATTATGTGTGGCACTATTGTAAAATAAAAGACACTTCTGATACCAGCAGGTCTTGAGAATCAGTATTGGTGGAAAAGTTGCTATGACCTTAACAGGTTCAATGGCTTTTCCAATATGTAGACATTTTTCTTGATCCTAGACTTCTTGTTAATAAAGTCAGGAGGAATGCATCCTCTCTACACCTATTAAGTTGCTCCACAGCAAATTAAGCTGAAGAGATGAGTTGAAGAGAGTACAAATGTTTTAAGAAATGATTATCACAGAAAGTTTAAAATGCTCTCTGGTAGTGGTAAGGATTTGATTTCCTTTAAAAAATCCCCCCCCCCACCTTGGGACTTCCCTGGTGGCACAGTGGATAAGACTCTACGCTCCCAATGCAGGGAGCCTGGGTTGATCCCTGGTCAGGGAACTAGATCCCACATGCATGCAACAACTAAGAGTTCCCATGCCACAACTAAGGAGCCGGGGAGCCACAACTAAGGAGCCTGCTTGCCGCAACTAAGACCTGGTGCAACCAAAAAAAAAAATCCCCCCCCTTCTGTATATATGTACACATATATATATATATATATATATATATATGCTCTGTATATGTATGTATATATGTTTGTGTGTGTGTGTGCTTGTGTGTGTATTTTCCTCCCACTCAGGTTAAGTAATTTCACAGGATAAAACGTGCTCAACTATATGAAGAATCTATAATAAATATGTAAAAATATTACATATCACTGGTTTCCAGAAAGGGAAAAGTTACTATTCCATGCACATGCACTTAATACACCTTTGAGAATGAAAGAAAATTAAAACAAGAAACACATTTTTTACTTATTTGATCACATTTTTTCCATTTTGTTCCTACTATTTGTGGAGCTAAGTTTCTTTTTTTTTTTTTTTTTGCGGTACGTGGGCCTCTCACTGTTGTGGCCTCTCCTGTTGCGGAGCACAGACTCCAGACGCACAGGCTCAGCAACCATGGCTCACCGGCCAAGCCGCTCCGCGGCATGTGGGATCTTCCCGGACGGGGCATGAACCCGCGTCCCCTGCATCGGCAGGCGGACTCTCAACCACTGCGCCACCAGGGGAGCCCAAGAGCTAAGTTTCTTGAGTACTTTTTGAAAATTATAGATTAAGATATAAGCTTATCAGTTATTGATCAATTTGAGTTAGAGCCTTACATATTTTCAAATTGATAACTGAAAACAAAGTCAGATAAACAGTCTGGAAGAATAGATTATCTTTGTGTTTCGTTTGCTCTTTCAATTTATTTATTTATTTATTTATTTTCATGTTGGGGGTAGGAGTTTATTAATTAATTAATTTATTTTTGCTGTGTTGCATCTGCATTTTTGTGCGAGGGCTTTCTGTAGTTGTGGCAAGTGGGGGCCACTCTTCATCGCGGTGCGCGGGCCTCTCGCTGTTGCGGCCTCTCTTGTTGCGGAGCACAGGCTCCAGACGCGCAGGCTCAGTAGTTGTGGCTCACGGGTCTAGTTGCTCCGCGGCATGTGGGATCCTCCCAGACCAGGGTTCGAACCCATGTTCCCTGCATTAGCAGGCAGATAGATTCTCAACCACTGCGCCAGTAGGGAAGCCCTCTTTCAATTTATTTACAAGTCAAAATAAACTTTTTGAAAGCCCCTGAATATTCTTGTGAGACATTTTATTTTGTTCAAAGTAAACTTAAGAAAACTCCTTTAAAGATCTGTCTCAGCAGGGGTAAAAAAATAAGCTGATCAAAATTGTACAAAGAAGAAACTGTTTCACATTGAGCAGTGGAAAATTTTCCAAAGACAATATAAGTGATACATTTTAAAAATCAAAGAAATTTAGATTTAGAAGGACCTTCATGGCATATAATGTGGCATGTTTTCAGAAATCTTTATGCATAAGTCCAATACACCAAGCTCTGACTGAATTGGGGTGGGGAGGGTCCATGGGGAATGTTGGGGTCCATCCCTACTCGGCCCTTTCTCCATAGTGATCCTATGGCTGGAAGAACTGTTCAAAATTCATGATATTTTAAAATTTCCTCTTCCCACTATTTTACTGTTGAGAAACTGTGGTGACCCCAGGTGAAGTTACTTGACAAGGTTACACAATTTATTATTTTCAGAGTCAGGACTTTAATTCAGACAGCGTGACTATAGCCAATCCTTTCCACTACCTCATCTGCAAGAAGTGAGATATAAAATATACAATTAGCTTTTATTACTTACCCACTTGTTTAGGAGGAGAAGGGAAACTGGAAAGAAAATGATAACACAGTTATAATCAGACCAATATAAACACAGAAATTGAGTCTTTTATTTAGGAGAGACATGAATAGCCTGGAGGCTTATGAAGTCTAATTAATCTGCTGACTGTCATTCCTTTCTCATCCTCCATTTCTCTGCTAAGTCCCAAGTTTTTGTCCATCAATCTGGAATTTAGCAAGACTTTTTGTGAACTCCAGTGCTGACCAAAAAAGTCAAGAGTCAAGATATCCAGTGGTTTATTTTGCTCACAGCCATTAGACCAATGTTTGCAGATTTGTTCTATGAAGTTTGGGCATATTATCATACCAGAGTAATTAAATGGTCTCAGTATTCTGGAGTCGCTGTGGCATAGCTCAGGCCCAAAACTGTTTATTTGACTCAAAGAATAGAAATGCAGAGTCAAAATCAGCAGAGGTCATAGGAATCTTTATATGACCATGTTTCAACAATATGTACATGTATATCTCCAAAAGAAGAATGGTGAATAAGAGAGGAAAATCCACTGAAACTAGAGAGTGAGAGCTTATTAACAGAAGTGATTTGAAATCAGGATTGGGTGGCTTTTAGTTGCAACAGAAAAAGACCTTTGCTTTTATTACTTTCTGAGCTTTAAACACACACACACACACACACACACACACACACATCACTGGAAGAATGGTGCACAGTTACAGTAAAGTGTGAAAGGTCATTAGTTCAAGTGATCTAAAACCAGAATTAGCTGGTGTGTAATTAGAGCAAAAAAAAAAATCTCTTCTTTTATTTCTAAGGACTACATTTGAGTAATGCTGCATGAAGAGAAGATTTGCTATGTTTACTTATAATTTTAAGAGTCCTGTTTATTGAGTGTTGTTTTAGTGTCTCACAAAAGGGTTTAAAATTACGACTTCTATGTGGAATTAACATCTTATAAAGACTTCAGTTAAGTGTGGTGAATCTATTAGGCACATATAAAATAAGGATATCCTGTACCAGTGAGTGTAATTAAGATCCTTCAAATTCATACACATGGAACTTATACTAAAGGGTTATTTTTGTATGGAAAGATAAAATTTATGCTTTAGTTTTATTTATACAAACTGAAGATATTTAGAATAATTTTATTATAGGATAAATATGTAATTCAAGTAGAATTAATATATCACAATTGTGATATAGAGTTACAAAGACTTTAAATACTGTACTTAGAGAAAAGAAATTCCAAATTGTGTCCTTTATTTCTAGCAATTAATTTTTAAAAGAGAATGTATATTTTGAAGAATAGTTAGTATACAATATTATATAATAAAATGTGGCATTGGAATTGTGAACATTCAGATGTGATGCCACAGTTTAAAAAAGTCCTACTAAATGGAGGGTGAGTGTGTATGAGTGTGTGAGGGTGTGTGTGTGTACACTTGTGCGTGTGTGTGCTTGTACATGTTTGAATGGAAAGCAAAATATATTTTTGAACCATATGATGATTTTCGAATCCTTTGTGCTCCTCTTATATAAATGCATGAGTTTAAGGGTGACACAGTAAATTAGGCTAGAATAACTAATGGAAAAAACACATTAAATTGTTAGAAGTTTGTCAGAAATTGGTTATTGGTTATAAAATATTAGCAGCATTTGATTAAATTATTAGTGCTGTTATCGTGCACTGTATTTGGTGGTTGGTCGACTCTTACGATGAACCTTCATTGTCTGACTCAGAGTCTTTTGGTTTCTCTCGTATACTTTTCTTTCTGTCATCTTTTCCCTTTAACATCTTCAAAATCCCCCAGGACCACGTGTTACTCTTCTCTTCATCCTGTAGCGTGGAGCTTTGGAGCATGCAGGCATTGATCAGATTTTTTATAATTATATTGCTTTGATCATTCAGGCTGTAAGCTACTCATTGTATTGAACAAAATGAAGCTATTACGTTTATAGGTTATGGTCTTTGAATACTGCTTCTACTAGGTAAATAGGTAAGTTATTTTTTCCTATTTGGTAGATTTCTCCTGGTTCTTAAACTAGCGAGCTGAGTCAGGATTAAGTTTTAAACATCAATTTAGCTATACTGTATTAAAAGTAAGTTGTTAATAGATTAAACATTTTTTTAAATGTATTTAAATTTTAAAATACACCATTTCAAAAGTTTAAACACCCAAAGGATTCAATACTGGTTTTGCCACAGATAGCATATGATCTCAGTTTATTTGGGTTGCCTACAACTATGTTTAATATACAAAGGATAGCCATGCTACTGATTAACTTTCCAGATTGTCATAAAAATAAATTATTGATTGATAAATAAATGATAGGGAAAAGTTTGAAAAAAAAATCTGCAACACTTCTAATCCTTTATCCCTTTTTCATTTCACTTCTTTTGACGTAGTTGTCAAGGTTATTCCAAACGATATACCACTTCATTTGAAGTGTGGTGCAGTTACACTTCCGCATTTACTAATGCTGTTAATTAAACATTCAAATAAGTTTTGGTAATGTAACAGGGAATGCTATTTCTGCTTTTTATTTTAAATAGAAATCAAAACTATACAACTCCAGTATATACAATACTTTGCAAAAAGGCAATTCGCTGATCATTCTTACCCATTAACAGCATCCTCCTCTTCTATCCCATCATAAATATCATCGTCTGGGGGAGGTGGGAACATCCCTTCATGTGAATTAGGGGGGAAAAAGTCTTCTGTTAGTTTTATAATTTGGTCACAAATGTTCACTCAAAATTTGTGAAATTTAATTGCAGAAAGCATCCTACTTTCATATCAACTATTTAAATAAAAACTAGCTTTATTTCCCACTCTCACATAGGTAGTAGGTAAATTATTTTTAATTTAATTTTTAAATTTAATTTAATTAATTTAATTAATAAATTAATTTAATTAATTTAATTTAAATTATTTTAATTATTTTTAACATTATCTTATAAGGAATTTTTAGAGGTGAAATGTAATAAAAATATGAGGGAAGATAAAGAGTAGTATGCATGGGAGATGAAAGAAATGGGGGAAAATAACTATGAAAAAAATCAAATTAAATAAAGATAGAGTTAGAATTTATTGTGGAAAAAGAAGGGAGAGGTGATAAGAAAAATTTAATTAATACTGAGGAGACATTCAGAAAAAGCTACCAATCAAGATATAAGTAAAGAAAAGCAAATAAAATGAAAGGTGAATTTATAAACATTGATGGGCTGACTTTTCATTTCTTTATTTCATTTCATCAATGTGATATTTTAAAAGTTAAACCTTTTTTTGATTTGTTATCCTATAGTCCTTAGGAACCTTTCTATTTGACAAATATTTATTTAACAAATCTTTATTGAGTACCTTCTCTGTACAGGAATATGTACAATCAACTTGACATTTGATTTTTAGGATGAGAATTTTAGCACTGCCAGGTATTAGTAACCCTTATTTTGTTGATGAGATAATGAGGAGTCTTTAGGAGTCATAGCTAAGGTGACCATGTAAGTTATCATCCAAACAAGGATACTTCTGAAAGTGAAGGGGGATACTACTAAAAATTGTGCTCAGACAATTGGCATAAGTCAACACTGCCCTGGGCATACTGGAAGTGGAGTCACCCTACGACCCATAACAAACTTAGAAGAAAGAACTGACTTGCTCAGGGTCACTCAGTGGCCAGGGCTGGACTCCCAGTCATTGGTTCCCAGTCCAGTGTTCTTTCTACCACATTAAGATCCTCCTCATTGTTTGCAGACAAAAGCATTTTGTCATTAGTACACACAAAAACGTCGAAGACTTGCAGAAACTGCTGATGAAAGTGTGTGGCTTACCTCCACTTCCACTCTGATTGTGGCTAGGAAAAGAAAAGTGGACCAATTAAATTAATATATGAAGTATTTAGCTATCAGGGAGAGAAGTACATATATTGAGCAGTTATACAAAAGAAAAAATAACATTCCAATCAAAAGTTTATCAGGATGTTATTTACAATAGCCAAGATATATCAATAGAAGCAACCTAAGTATCCATCGACAGATGAGTGGATAAAGAAGACGTAGTACATATACACAATGGAATGTAACTCAGTCATAAAAGGAATGAGATTTTGTCATTTGCAACAACACAGGTGGACCTACAGGGTATTGTACTTAGTGAAATAAGTCAGATAGTTAAAGACACATACTGTATGCTATCACTTATATGTGGAATCTAAAAAAAATAAAACAAATGAATGAATATTACAAGACAGAAAGAGACTCGCAGATATGGAGAACAAAGTACTGCTTATCAGTAACAAGGGGATGGGGTGGAGGGGCAAGCTGGGGATAAGGGTTTAAGAGGTACAAACTACTATGTACAAAATAAATAAGCTACAAGGATATATTGTACAGCATAGAGAATATAGCCAATATTTTATAATAACTTTAAATGGAGTATAACCTATAAAAACGTTGAATCACTATGTTGTATACCTGAAACTAATATAGTATTGTAAATCAGCTGTATTTTAGTTAGAAAAAAAGTTATCAGATGTTATATGTGAAAAGGAAGAAAAACTGTTCCTTATTGTAATAGATGAGTAGTAACAAAGCAAAAAACAAAGCAAAACAAACCTAATAAGAATCGAGTGAGATTCAGTACCATAAAGTATTCTAAACAATGATACTGTTTGCTTCTAGCATGTTCCCATGAGGCAGTTTTCAGATTATACTGTATTACATCATTCCATAGATGGACTTACTTATAAAAAGAGAGTATTATTCCAGAACCATTATTGCGTTAAATTCAATTTTCTTTTGCTATCTTATAGTCACAGCATTTAACTCTTAGTCCAATAGCATTCCATTTTTTTAAAAGGGAGAACTTAAAAAAAACTGAAATCCTCTTCATGGGGCCTTTGTAGAGCGTGGCTCCTGATTCTCTAAATCCAGAATTCTGATTTTTAATTTATTTTGATAACATTCTCTATTTCCCCTCTTTTATAATTGTCTGTTTTCTTGTCCATTTCTGCCACTAAAATATGAGTTCTGTGAGAACAAAGGAAGTGTAGAGTGTGAGAACTAAAAAAAAAATCTCAGAAGTCATCTAGTTCATTTTGCAGAAAGCAATTGAGGTGCTGAGAAATGACGTGATGTGACCAAGCCCACTTTTAAGTAAATGAACAGATGAGAGGAGAACTTCAGCATCCTGCCTTCCCTTACAATATCCTTTTGGCTACACCTCGCTGCATTCCCTGTGTCACCATTTGAGCCTTTTGGATAATCTGCCAGTAACAGATATCAGTCTGATATTACAATCGTATAGTGTAATTATACACTCATATCTGATTCCTCAACCTTTAAGTCAGAATAAAAGAAATTGGTCCGATGCAGATCTACTGCTAATCTAGAAATAAAAAGTACGTTTGTTAATGGAACTTTGGAGGAAAACATGCTATAAGTGTCCTAATATATAAATAAGAATGGATTTTTGATGAATTTTTAGTATATTTTCTACTTGCTTACAAACTATTTTCACATTCATTGTCCTCAACACTTCCCTTTGAGCATGAAGCAAGCAGATAGAATTATGTGAAAAATTGCAATTTGGGTTGGCTGCCACTCCTGGCAAATACAATATATTCCCTTGGAGAGTCTCACACCCAATTCCTAAAGAACAGAGTTATAATCAGGAGCAAAGCCACCATACATGATTTCATCTCTATAGCCGTTCTTCAATTTCCCATAATGGTCTTTTTGGAATACAAACCATTGATCAGATGAATGAGAGGTAAGGAGAGGAGAGTGTGAGAAAAGAGGAGGAAAGAGAAAGAGGAAAGGATAAATCGCAGGGAAAAGGTTGGAAACATACATAGAAGAAAGTATTTTTATGTGATGGAAGAGTGGTATTTGCACTTGTAATTTCCTTTTGTTCAACGTTTCACATTTAGCACAAAAAATTGCTTAGTTGAGAAGAAAGGGAGAAGAACCGCTGTCAGGTCCTGTGCTTTTAAGCCTCCTGTCTGCTCACAGAATTTGAAGTACACAGTCAGCTCTCCTTACCCTGGAGGAATTGGGAAAGAGCCGGTAAAGAGTGCAAGGAACCAGGAGGCATCTGGGGGAGGGAGAGAAGAGGATGGTGCCTTCTCTTATTCTTGCCAGGACAAGCTGCCAGCTATACTTAGCATCTTTCCTTGTTCTACTGAGGACAAAGCATATTCTGTCATGAGATCTCTGCCAGCAGCAGCTGTAGTTTCAAGAAAAAAACTTGTGTAGAAGTGATGTCTCTTATTCCATTTTCTTATTAAATGCGCATAAGTGAGGAATAGATGCTAGTAAATATTGTGGGGCTATACTTGTTTAAAATATTAAGCATAAAAACCATACACCTCCTCCAACCCCAGTTTATTAAATGGAAGATTCTTTTTCTGCTACATGTTTACTAACTAGAGATATCTTTTAGAGTTGTGGTATGTATAGACTAGATAAAAGGAAAAGGTAATAGCAGTTGTTTTGGGAAATAGTCACCTATTATAGAACATAATGCTTCATTTTAAGGATATCATCCCTTTTTGTGGATTTATCATTTTTTTCTTGAGTATGTTCATCAGTGTAAATATGTATATATTAATATAACTGGGGTTCTTTAATTCCAAAATAAGAGAAATGTGTGTGTGTTTTTTTAAAAAGATAAAAGACAAACATAAGGTATATATGTTGCTAATATACATGGTATGGCATACTCATGTCCAGAAAATTCTGTAACTCTCAGAATATGGCCATTTGGAACTTTGACCCCCAAATTAGCATTTACTGACTTTGAAATTAGGTCAAGGTGTTTCTTATTACTAAGGCCAATTTACAATCTGTAAACTCCAGTGCATACATCGCATGTTTTGCTATATATTGCATAATTTATGATCATAACATGGTAAGAAGGCATGGAAGGCCATCATTCTTTTTTTTTGGCTGTGCCACATGGCTTGTAGGATCTTAGTTCCCCAACCAGGGATTGAACCCAGGCCCCATGCAGTGATAGCCCAGAATCCTAACCACCAGTCCGCCAGGGAATTCCCTATTATTCATTTTAGAAAGACAAAACTGCCAGAGAGCAACATAAGTTTAATTGATGCCATGAGCTCAAAGTCCACAAGAGGGAAATTTAATTCTTCATCTAGTTCAAAAGTATATTACTGTTTTGATCATTTTACATTTTTAAAATGGTTGATAATGAAAATATTTTTCCTTTAAAATCTGAGTTATGAAGAATGCAGACACATTTTTTCCCAAGTGAAGGTCTAGCACAGATCCTGTGTTTTGGATCACGTGGGAGATTTCCCAATTTCACAAATGGGCATAAAAAAAAGAGGATTCTTCACCGTGCTGGAGATTTTCCTTCTCCTTTTCCTTCAACTTGAAGGGATTATGGCTTTACCAGGAGATATTGGAGGCAAGAAGGAATGAAAAGAAAAGGGGAATGGAAAAGGAAGGAGAAGAAAGGACAAGGAAGATCAGAGCTAGGAAAAAGAGACAGAAGAGGAGGCAAGGATAAAGGGAGCTGGAGACGGAGAAAAGAGAGAAGGGAAGGAAAGGTACGTGGGAGAAGATCGCCATCCTCTCCTCTGGACTCCTCTACCCCAGAAAGATGTTCCCATAATTCTTGCAGGGAAGGTCATGCCATTCTAGTGGAATGAATGGAAAGTTGGACCCTTAGTTGATTGCCAGGGATCATAGGGGATTTTACATTTTTACTCTTAAAGAGCAAAGTAGAGTTGCTTAAAAAAGCATTTTTGTCTGTTATGTTTTTAAATAAGAACGATGAATATATTTAGACTCAGATTTCAGAGAAAAACACTTTATATTTTTCAGAGCTAACTTCTACATCTCATCCTTCAGTTTTACAAAGTCATACTTACTTTAGGCATATCCTTACGATCAAATCAGAATAAATACTGTAAAACAGCATTTTGGATTGACAACACGTTTGGCAATATCTGGCAAATGGCCCATTATATTTCAAGTAGTATTTGATACATACAACCAAAGAGTGAAATAAAAGACTACAGAGTTTCAAATGACTTTTCATCCATACTGAAGTGATTGTAAATGGTAATTCAGTTTAGTGATAGAGGGCAGTAGGAAATAGGGAAAGTAAAATTCTAGCATCTTAAAATCCACAATATCTGACAAAGAGATGATTTGATTTGCTTTACAATTTGTATTTACACATACCTGTTAACATCTTCCTGCTCTGCGACATCATCATATACTTCCTGGTCATCTTCAAAAGGTCTTGATGAAAGAGCACCAAGCGAATTTTTTTTCCGTTTCAAGGAATCATAGTCAATCTCTACAGCCGTTGTTTTAATATAGCCATCTACCAAAAGGGGAACAATTTATGTTCAGGTAACTGTAGTTTAAATATCATAAAGTTGTGGATAAAATATTAATTGCACACTTACTCTTTAAATTTTCCCTTTATTTCTTTGCTTGCAATTCTGATTTATAGACTTGTTGACACATGTTTCACTGTATTTTGTCAAAGTCTTATGCTGTTGTGGTTTGGGGTAAGCCTAGAGTCTATTTTCAAGATTCCAAAGTGATTCGTATGAATCATTTTTGCCTTTTAACCTCAATGAAGAACCTAATGCTCTTTGCTCCTCCCTGAGACACTATAAATATTTACATTTTTCCCCACTAAAAAGATTACACAGATGAGGTGAAGATGGAGCTATACCTGTCATTTAAAATCTTCCTATCTTTGTCCACCCTGTAACGTGCTCCCAACTTAATGCTTATGAGTAGCTTTGGAAGAATTTTCACATTAATATTGGCTCAAATAGAAAACACTTCGAAGTCGTAGGAAAATGTGCACTCACATGACCCCCTGGCTGTTTTGCCCAGCCATTTTCCTTCAGGGTTGTCTGTGATTCGGATTATCTCAATTTGCTCTCCTTGCTTGAAGCTCAGTTCATTCTTTCCTCCTTTGACATCACAGCAAGCTTTTGCTTGGTGGATGACTTGAATAGGGCCTGTTAGCTGCAAAGAGGAAAAAAAATCACGACCAGCTTCTTTACTATTCAGAACATCTTTAAGGAACGCGGTTTTGAAAGACAATATGTCCACCACTTGCCAACCTGCCTATTACCAACATTTACAGGTTTGAACTAGAAGTTGAGGGTGAATGTCATTCCTGGTGAATGTTCTTAGAGGAGGGGTTAGGGGAAAATTGCAGAGGTCAGACAGAACCAGCAAAGAACAGGTAAGCACATGCTCGGGGGCCAGGAGAGAGTGGCAGTGATCTGTTGACCTCGGGAACTCTGTGGAAGATTTGCAGAGAAAGCCACCGATAACCGAATACCACTTATGTACGAATTGCTGGGTGCTATGTGTTTTTATGGGGTATGCTGGTGGTTTGCTTGATAGAGAAATAGCTTTGTGAATAATAAAAATAACAAACAAATATTATGAGAGGTTTTTAAATTAATATCCTGAATAGTACAGTGTTTTCTTGACAGCAGGGGAATAATCTAGTTTAGAGGTCATGAATCCTAAACATTTCCTAATCCTAAATTGGTCTTTTCAACAGAATTTCTCGGACCTTTTGATATGCAAATATGCATTGTGAGTTTTGAAGAAGGTCTACTTTATTTTATTGAACTTGTGATGTGATGAATTGTGAGACATATCATTAATTATGCACCACCAAGAAAGAAAGAAAATAGCTTAAGTTAAATTTTGATATGCCAACGATGTTAAAACGTATCTTAATATCAGAATTTTAAAATGTGAAATATTTTGTCTTGGAATTAATGAAATGTGAAGCTATGTAACAGTTCTCACATTTATTTATTTAATTGGAACATCTATTAACATTTTGTGGAAGGAATATAGCGTGTGAAGTCCTAGTCTTGACAGACTTTTGAGTTCATATTTGGTGGTATATCTTCCATATCCTATTGTTTTCTTACTAACAAATGTTATTCAAATGAATGAGTGAAACAATGCAAAATTGATTTCTCAAAAAAAACCCCACAAGGGAAAGCTTCATACCATTCCTTCAAAACTACAAACAATCTCTTCATAAAAAGTATGTTATAAAGATTTTCATTTAAGAAATTAGTTTTTCATGTTTTCCACTTGAAAACTATAAACATTGGTAGCCATATATTCTGTATGAGTAAAATGTTTTAGTATTCATACTGTAATCTTAATTTTGCTTAATGTAGTAAGCAAAACTGAATGAGATCCTATAATAGATACAGTGCCTTCCGTGCATTATTTTATTTAATTCTATAAAAATCTTTCAGGAGAGGTATCATTGACTCACTTTAAAAATAAGGATCTGAGATTCAGAGAAGTTTAGTAATATGCCCATGATCACATAATTTGCATGTGCAGTTGGACTTTGAATCCACATCTGTCCAACTGACTCTAAGCTTTACATTTTCCCTTTGCCCTGCTGTTGAATCTTTGTTTTACTATAATCAATATACTGAGAAATTATATATAAACCACATTTTTATAATTCAAACCATATTGTAAATGTTCAGGAGGAATTAAATATTTAAAGGAAACTTGATATGAATCCTTTTTATAGTGAAGAATAGTTTTGTAGCTAGATAATCACTCTATAGCTGACATACTAGACCCACCCCAGATGGGCCATGTCATCAAAGACGTACTGGCCGAAAGAGTATAGTCCGCAAGTATAGTGGTAGTGGTGGTAGCAATAGAAATCACACAATTAGAAATCAGAGATCAGAGAAGACAGAGGTCAGAAATCCAGGTGGATGAAGAGGGAGGAGAAACAGCAGGTATCAAGTCAGAATGTAGGTCAGCTTAAAATAAAGGCAAAAGTCAGGTCTAGACAGCAGCAATCAGGTAGCTCACGGAGCTTTATTACGACAGGTCTGGTTAATCCAGAGACACTTCTGTCCCTCGTACCATTATAATACATGCCACAGGGATGTGTATGTGTGTGGTCCTGAGCTCATATTATGAGTAGGATAAAATGAAATGCATAGCAAGGAGGGTCAAGATGGGTCTGAGAAATCAAGTACTCTTTCACTCAATCAACATAAAATTTCCTGAGCTCCCACCATATTTTATTTGGACTTTATTGCATTAGTTTTTAGTGCAGGGGTAAAGGAGATTATTGGACAAAAACATTACTATTGTGAAGGTAGTTACTCTTTAGAAAACAATGATTAAGTAATTCTCTGACCATGTAAGGTTTCAAGAATTGTGCCCCTTTTGTGTGAAAGTCATAAAAAGAGGTTACTCTTTTTCACCCTTCAGCAAGCAGGCTCTTACTTTAAATTTCTTCTTTATTTCCTGTTCTTTCTTTTCTCTCTCTTTCTGTTCCTTTTTCTCCAGCTCTAATCTCTTCCTTTCCTCCTTTTCCCTTTTCTTCTCTCTTTCTTTGGCTGTTTCTCTGTGGATTAAAATTGTAAGTTTGTTTTAGCATCCACGGGCATTGATGTGTCAGGGCTCCCTATCCAGAGAGGTTTCTACCCAGAACAGAAGATAGTATGTGAAGAAGTATAGGTGAAGGTATAAAGCCAAGGCTTGTCAAAATTCCTGGGTGTATGAGACTGTTCTTAGACCCAGCAGGAGGCATTCAAATGAGGATGCCTTCCTAAGGTTCTGCTGCCCTTACAGCTCGTGCAGGCAAGTGGAAAGCACTGTTTATAACGGTTCTTGCGGCCTGTCCGCATGAATAGAATTAATCTCTCTCTCTCTCTCTCTCTCTCTCTCTCTCTCACGCACTCACTAGTACAAGTTCACGTACACATATGCACTTGTACACACATGTACAAACCTTAATTCAGAAACTTTAGTCAGAATTAGTTGAATAAGAACTGGGTAGGGAAAATTAACATATTTGAATCAACAAAAGATAAAATAACATATTCATTCTACTTCTACTCATTTCCCAAGAAATTTCTTAGTCTCGGGCTACCCAGAAACCCATTTTGGAACCCTTTCTAACACCTTTCTGTTTAGCAGACTAAAACTTTGGCATCTGGTGCTGTGTTAAATCGTCTCTCATAGCAAGGTTGTGAGGTGAAGCGCTGTCTAGGTGAGGACATTGTAACGTATACACGAATTCATGTGCCCAAGGACACACTGAGAGCAAGAAATCAGATTCCCGGCCCCTGTGATTCCCTGCCTGTGGGCTATCTAGTGGGCTGCAGGCCTCTGACCTCTCCGGGGATGACATTTTAATAGAATCCTCTGTAAAATCCTTAGACAAGAAAAGAATCTTTAGTCCTTTGTATTGAAATAAAGGTTATCATTATATGCCCGTCATTTGAACAATACAGCTTTTCCCTCCCAGTGTTGAATATCCCTCCACTCTCCCTCATACAAATCATTATATTCATCTTAGAAGGAAAATATCATGGTAAAAAACTGTAACTCATACATGTCTTCATATGTTTCTCCTTCACTCTCTTGTTCCTGTCAAGAAAAACATTAATAATGATTAACTGTAATTATTTAATAAGGGAACATACACATATTACATTGCTCAAATAATCAGTAAAACAAGCATACATTTGTGTGTCAATTTGGCTTATTTAAAATATTTTTGTTTCCTTTTTAGAGACAGACTGGAAAAGGAAGCACAGAAAGATTTCATTTTATATCTTGCTATGTAATTCAGATGTGTAGCCAGACTTCAGTCTATGTTTAGCATTACAAAATTACTATGAGTCAGTGTAATAATGGGTGTTTAATGTCTCAAGCATTTTAGATGAAATAAGATTATAAATGGAAAAAAATCACCATTACTCATAAGGATTTTCATTTGTTGGTTTATATCAATAGAAGATGAATCACAATAATTGTTACATATTCTAGTTACAGCAATATAATATGAGAAGGAAAAAAAAACTGACCTCATCCAGATTTCCAGTTCCTAAAGTGTTTAAAAAAAGAATACAATTTAATGTAGTGTAATTAAGAAGTGCTTTAATACAGGATTATTAGATGTAATATAATATTCAAAACAGTTCATCATGTAACAGAACTTATAATTTACCAAAGGTATAGAAGTACAAAATAGAATATGCAGTTTAGATTCTTACTATGGCTTTTTTGAATCTTGTAATTTAATTATAAAATCATTTCACTGACTTTCATAAAATAATGCAAAAGCCAAAAATTAATGAAGACACTCTTTGTTCTCTTTATGAAAAGCATGCACATTTGGTTTTGCGGGCTTGCAGTATGGAACAAAGATTTTACCAGAAAATCACAACTAGTTCACACTTTTCGACTTACTTGTTCCCAAAGATTTGCTTTCATGTGTCAAACAAATCAAGTTAATAAGATTTTTTAAAAAGATATTTTACTGTTCAAGGGTTTGGTAATATCAATAAACTACCAGGTACAAAGACATCATCTAAAACAATAATAATAAAAACAGTGTGGAACTGATATACAAATGAATAGACCAGTGGAATAGAGCAGAGAGCTCAGAGACAGGTACACAAATTTACACACACACAAATAGAAGCACACATTATGCACACACAAACACACCTATATATGCAAAGACACAAACACATCAATAGAGTTAATACAGTAAATGTGGCATTATAAATTAATGAGAAAAGGGTGGATTTCAGAGTATGGTAATGGGAAAACCGGCTTTGTACATGAGACAACAAATCTAGATTTCTACTAACGCCTCAAAAGTGGACTGCAAAGAGATCAAAGACCTAACTATAAAGGATAAAGTTCATAGAAGATAATATTTGTATTTCCTAGGGATAGGACTTCTTAAATAAAACTTAAAAAGTATAAATTACAAAGTAAATATTAATGAATTTGATTATATCAAAATATATTTATGTTCAGTGAAGGACAGCATGGACTAAGTTAATAGACAATGGACAGAATGAGAGAAGATATTTGCAGTGTCTACAACTGACATAGGATTAATATCTGGAATACAAAGGAACTCCTGCAAATGATCCAGAAAAGGATACCAACCCCAAGGAAAAAATGGTCAAGGAATAGGAACTGGCAACGTACAGAAGAGAAAACCACAAAGGCTATTAAACAAATCAAGTATTCGAACTCAGCAGCAAGCAGAGATATGAAAATGAAACAAGTCATTATTTTATGCATGTGAGACTGGAAACAACTGGAAAGCTGCATGGTACTATGCACTGGCGAAAGGCAGGCATCTTGGAATCTTCATGCCCTGTGATGGGAGTACACAGAGATGCAGCTCTTCTGGAGAGCACTCTAATCCTACTCAGTTGGAATGAGTATGCCATTGCTTACAAGCAGCCACTCTACTGCTGGATATACATAAAGGAAGGCTCTCAGAGGTCCACATGGAGATATGGACAAGAAGGTGCATTGAACTATTATTTGTGGTACCAGCGAGTTGAAGGTAAAATGTGAATGCATAGGATGCATACCATGGAGTGCTGTGCAGTAGTTAACAGAAAGAAATTAAATATACATATATAACATGGAGGAGCCCCCCAAAACACATTATGCTGAATATAAAAAAAAAGGCCAGAGTGAGCTATAATATACAGTTTATGTAAATTGAAATATGTACATATACACATACAACAGCATGCAAAGAATATGTACAAAAGACACACGCTAAGTACATTAGAATATTTGTCTCTGGTAAAGGGGAGGAAGGAAAGGGAGTGGGTCATGGAGATAAAAGGAAATAAATAAGTAAGTAAAATAAGAGACGGGTCTTGCATGGACCAATGACAATAATGACCCATTAATGATCCTATGAGAATAATTAACTCAAACTTCCGAATTGGAGGGAAAAAATAAATAAAACATCTTTCGCCTCTTACCATCAGAGTGCATGACACTATCTTGATTTTCTTCATTTACAGGGCTTCTGAAAACAAGAGAGAAGAAAAAGTGAAAATGGAACAAGTAGATGCTCCCCTTACAATGAAAAAGAAAAAAGAATAAAAGGATCATTTAAAAATAACTCTTCTCTTTCATATCTGCTCTGATTTAAAACTTCAGAAGTCAGTAGAATAGGCTTTAGCCTGGTATTGATGCCACTACTGCTGCAAAAAGTGGAGAATCGGGGAGCTTGAGCACAGCACTGCCCATTCAAAGTGAGTATCTACAATTAATCAGTAGTTTAGTTTCAGAGCAGAAATATTTTTCTGTTAAAAGGACAGTATGTCAATAAGTCAATTCTGGGTTCTGAAGGTATATGATTGGCTGTACGGTACAGATTCCAAAGATCATTAGTTCCAATCCTGACTCATCACCCTTTTCCAGATGTTTTCCATCTGGTTTTGCTTCCATCACTTGTGGCTTGAACTCCAAGGTGCTTCATTCCAAACCACTTCACTCCAACTGCTCATAACAGCTATCAATACCTGGGCTTCACGAATCCCTAATGATTTATGGAACCATCTATATTTTCTATTTCTATTCTTGGGTTGACTTGCAAAACTGGGGAAAATTGCCATTTTACTGATTTAGGATATTACCAATAATTGACATTCAATCTCAGCTATACCCTCAACACTATTCTATAATCTCATTACACTTTTATTCTAGTCAACCCTCTCTTGCATCATCCTTCCCAATTGCTATTCAAAACGTTCATTACTTCCCTCAGATCTCCTATTCCTCTCCTTTCTCTTTTCATCAGATGATCTTGTGTCTTATTTCACTGATAAAATAGCACTTATTGGGGGTGAACTCTCTTAAAATACATTCCTTTAACTCCCAAGCTTATCTACAGTTACGCCCATCCTTACCTGTCCCTACCGAAGTTCCTTCCATCTGTGTTCTGAATCCTATCTGAATGATCAATTATTTTACTCCTTTTATTCGCTATCTTCTGTGTGTCATCATATTATTTATATTACTATTATTGTTCTTCTTCTTTCACTCCCCATCCCTAAATATCTCACTACTGTTTTCTCCCTCAGCCCAAGTTACTCTCATTCATGAAGGACAAACACTTCTCTTCACCTTTCTAAATCCTCCACATTACCATAAGGCCATCATCCTTTTCCCAAAGTAGAAAAAGCTGTCCATACTCACCGACTTCACTTGCTCTCCTCCTCCTCATTTCTTCATTGACTACAATCTGGTTTCCCCTGCTAATCCTTCACTGAAACTATTCTTAAAAGATTTGATTACCAAATCCATTAAACACTTCTCAGCCAGCACCTACTTGATTGCTTTGTGGCTCTTATCACAGTATTGGCTATTTTGCCTTCCTGGAGTCTCCTTTGTTTCCACGAGAAATCTCTCCCACTCACTTCTTGTCCCTCTGGTCACTACCCCACAATTTCCTTTGTGGGTTAATTTGCTCTGACTTCCCCTTTTAAGTGATGGTGTTCTTTTGTGTTCCAGTCTTGGCTTCCTCATTTTTATTTTCACTCTACATTTGCCTCTAGATGGTCTCATATAACTCCATAGTTTCACATATTATCTTAATGTTGGTGACTACATGTTGAAATCTCTAGCCCAGACCTCACTTCTGAGTTTCAGATTCATCTATCTATCTATCTATCTATCTATCCATCCATCCATTCATCTGTCTATCTATTCATCTTCCTATCTATCTTTATTTGTATGTCTCACTGACACTAAACCTGTTTTTCCTACTAAGTTTCTTACCTTGGTCAATCGCACCACAATTCCCTTAACCACTTAAGCCTTAAGTCATCCTTTATTTCTCACTCTTCTACAGTCCCACATCGAATTAATCAAGTTCTGTAAGTTCTGCAAGTTCTGAGTATTTAGTGTCTCCTATAATGCACTTCCCCTTCTGTCTCTCCTCTATCCTGCTAGACACAAGAACAGGATTCTATCATTGCTAGTGTAGACCCATGAAGTAGCCTTCTGGACAGTCTTCTAGTGATGAGAATTGCTCTTCATCTTTCCTACCCTTAAAGTCCCTTCTACATGCTGCTGCCAAAGTGATCTTTCTAACGTGAAATTGACACCATTTGAAGAATGTGAGCAGGAAGTGCCTTGCTATCACTGAGACCATAAAAAAGGGCTAGTGGGTACTCTTGTAGCCCAGGAAGAATTACCGTGGATATACATGTCTCAGTTTCCACCTGAGATGATAAACATATGTGGTCATAAACTGCTATCTAATAAACTCACTTTTTAAAAAAATCAAACATTTAAAATTTAACACATATGCATAGCTTACTACCTAGGTAAGTGTAAAGGCCCAGTGAAATTGATCATGACATGACACTTATTTTTCTTAGTAAGCCTTTTTTAGATCTTGGATGATTCAGAATTAAATACAGAAACGATGAAGTAATTCAAGCCCATGGTACAAGAATCTGTTTCTAATCATTGGGACAATATATGTATGTTCAATATTTTAAGTATTTGTAGTATTTAAGAGATTTACTACATTAGATATTCAGTTGAAAATCTGTGTCACATCACTTAAAAAACTGTCAGTTAGACTTAATATTTTAGTTGAAAACTAAGGACTCTAAGTGTTAATGTCAATGGCTGCTGGCCTTATAAAACAGAGTCAGCCAAAATTATGAGCTCCTAATAAAAGAATATATCATCACCAAGGAAGGAGTCTTACCTAAATAAAGAAAGAAGTACATTTAGAAAATAGAACTAAATTTGATCAAGCACCCATCTGTATCCAACTACCAATTTCCAGAGGAATGGGGAACACACAAGCTGTACTGGGAGGAAGCGATCAGTGCAATCCAGATTGTGGGCAACTGTAACGCCCACGAACAACTTGATTTGCTCAACAAATAAATTGCAACAATTAAAAAGAAAGAAATAGAGGGTGAACCTAGAGATTGAAAGAGAATTACAAAACATATAAGCCATAGACTTTGCTTGGATTCTTATTCAAACAAACAAGAAAACCCACATACAATTTAAGAGAAAACTGAAAATTTGAAGACTTTATGTCTTAAAGTAATACACAGAGTCTATTTTTAGGGAAACCTACTGAAATATTTATGGTTATTATTAAATGATGCTTGGTATTAGTTTCAAAGTAATATGAGAAGAGAGAAGTGGGGGGGTATAGATGAAACAAGATTGGTAGTGAGTTAAAAACTGTTGAAGTTGGGGAAGGGTGCATGGGTGCATACTATGCTATTCTCCTTGCCTTTTATACACTTAAATTTTTTAAAATAAATGTTTCTTAAAAAGTATAAGAAGAGGACTAGGAACCAAGATGGCAGAGTAGAAGGACATGCTCTCACACCCTCTTGTGAGAAAACCAGAATCACAACTAGCTGCTGGACAATCATCGATAGGAAGACACTGGAAATCACCAACAAAGACACCCCACATCCAAAGAAAAAGGAGAAGCCACAATGAGATGGTAGGAGGGGCGCAATCACAGTCAAATCAAATCCCATAACTGCTGGGTGGGTGACACAGACTGGAGAACACTTATATCACAGAAGTCCACCCACTAGAGTGAAGGTTCTGAGCCCCACGTCAGGCTTCCCAACCTGGGGGTCCGGCAATGAGAGGAGGAATTCCAACAAGAGGAGGAAGAAGCAAGAAGAACTACAAACCTGCAGACAGTAGAACAAAAACCACATTCACAGAAAGACAGACAAGATGAAAAGGCAGAGGGCTATGTACCAGATAAATGAACAAGATAAAACCCCAGAAAAACAACTAAATGAAGTGGAGATAGGCAACCTTCCAGAAAAAAAATTCAGAATAATGATACTAAAGATGATCCAGGACCTCAAAAAAAGAAAAGAGGCAAAGATCGAGAAGATGCAAGAAAAGTTGAACAAAGATGTAGAAGAAATAAAGAACAAACAAACAGAGATGAACAATACAATAACTGAAATGAAAAATACACTAGAAGGAATCAATAGGAGAATAACTGAGGCAGAAGAATGAATAAATGACCTGGAAAACAGAATTGTGGAATTTACTTCTGCGGAACAGAAAAAAGAATGAAAAGAAATGAAGACAGCCTAAGAGACCTCTGGGACAACATTAAATGCAATAACATTTGCATTATAGGGGTCGCAAAAGGAGAAGAGAGAGAGAAAGGACCAGAGAATATATCTGAAGAGATTATAGTCGAAAACTTTCCTAACATGGGAAAGGAAATAGCCACCCAAGTCCAGGAAGCGCAGTGAGTCCCATACAGAATAAACACAAGGAGAAACATGCCGAGACACATAGTAATCAAATTGGCAAAAATTAAAGACAAAGAAAAATTATTAAAAGCAGCAAGGGAAAAACGACAAATAACATAGAAAGGAACTCCCATAAAGTTAACAGCTGATTTCTCAGCAGAAACTCTACAAGCCAGAAGGGAGTGGCATTATGTACTTAAAGTGATGAAAGGGAAAGATTACTCTAACTGGCAAGGATCTCATTCAGATTTGATGGAGAAATCAAAAGCTTTACAGACAAGCAAAAGCTAAGAGAATTCAGCACCACCAAACTAGCTCTACAACAAATGCTAAAGGAACTTCTCTAACTGGGAAACACAAGAGAAGAAAAGGATCTACAAAAACAAACCCCAAACAATTAAGAAAATTTTGGTAATAGTAACATACATTTCTATAATTACCTTAAACGTGAATGGTTTAAATGCTCCAACCAAAAGACACAGGCTTGCTGAATGGATACAAAAACAAGACCCATATATATGCTGTCTACAAGAGACCCACTTCAGACCTAGGGACACATACAGACTGAAAGTGAGGGGATGGAAAAAGATATTCCATGCAAATGGAAATCAAAAGAAAGCTGGAGTAGCAATACTCACATCAGATAAAATAGAATTTAAAATAAAGAATGTTACAAGAGACAAGGAAGGATACTACATAATGATCAAGGGATCAATCCAAGAAGAAGATATAACAAATATAAATATATATGCACCCAACATAGGAGCACCTGAATACATAAGGAACTGC